AAGTTATGAGAATGTAATGAAGATTGGTACATAGATATGAGTATAGATGATAAGACAAGAGTATGTGAACATGAAAGGAAATATATGATTTGCGTATAAGGAATAAATAAAGGAATAATGAAATAAAGAAATGAAAGGGATTGAATTAAAGGATCAAATACGATAAAGGTTATATGGAAGTGTAGATGATAATTTTGATATAGAAGTAAGAAAAGTGTGCAAGGTGATGTGAAAAGATTCTTTAAAGTGTATGTTGAATCGTATTTAAAGAAGATTTAAGGTCGTGTTCTTGGTTAAATGATGATGGAAAACGAATTTGGTTATTATAAGGTAGTTAGAGATGGATTTATGATGTTGAGTGATGAAAATGAATGTTATTGTCTATATAATGAGTGACATTATATAGATTTTAGAAATGTCAAAGGAAAATGCAGAATCGAAGGAGATAAAAGACATAAATGGATTGAGGTTATGGTTACTGTGTATATGATAAGTGACAGTAGATAAATGTATAAAGGAAATCGATAATTGAAGAAATAAAGAAATGAAAGATTAAGTAAAGGAAGTAGCATGAGAACATTAGAAGATATGTTCTTATTGATATGTTTAGTGAAAATTCGAGGACGAATTTTCTTTAAAGGAGGGGAGATTTGTAACATCCTCAATACCGGGTTAGTAATCAAATTGTAAAGTTTTAGAATTTGGTGACCAGAGTAGAACCATGGATTAGTTCAATGATTTATTTGGAAATAAATCATAAAAGTTGTTAGTAATTATAAAATGAATTGAAGGGCAAAAAGGTCATTTGATGAGGAAGATTTTTATTTTCCTTATAAGATAAGGAAATCACGTGGGAAGAGAGAAAAGGTTCTAGAGTTCTCTACTCTTCTTCCTTCTTCATACGTGAAGGCTTGACTCAAAGGTGAGTTTCTTTGTTTGTTGATTAATTATTGATTTTAAGGATGGGTTATGATCATTAGATGATAATTAAGCTTAAGGAAAGCTTAATTTGTTCTAAAATAACAAGATAAAAGATAGAGAAGAGATTAAAGAAAATGAGTTTTTAGATGAATTTCTGGAAAAGAGTTAATAAGTGAAATTTGAGAAGGAATTTGACTTGTCATCGCTAAGAATAAGAGATATATGAAGTTAGAAAGGATTAATAACAAAGTTGAAAGTTTAGTAAGATTCTTAAATTTTAAGAATCATGATGAGATATGGAAGATAAAGATGGTTTATATGGATATAAGTTGGTTTAAGTAATGGTAATTGAATTTAATGACATAATAGGGGCTTAAAATAGAAGAATTGAATGAAAAATTGATGATTTTCGGACTTAAAATGCAAATTATGGGCAAGGTGTATCAATGCACATTAAATGTGTATCGATGCACTCTTTAAAGAAGAAACATCGAATGCAATTTCTGCATCGATGCATCCCTTAAAATAAAAACATCTAAGGTGATTTGTGTATCGATGCATGGGTAGTGCATCGATGCACATATTAAAGAATGCATCGATGCACTGTAGAATGCATCGATGCACTTCAAGGGGAAATTAAAATAGACTTTTCTTTTGGTCTAAGAAATGATAAATTAGAATATATCAATTGGTTAATGATATGTATCAATGTACGATTATATAGATATCGAGCACGAACAAGTTCCGAAACGATTATCAAGTTAAGATTCGATCGAAAGTAAAGTTCGGATAGGTCGTCAGAGTAAGATGCGCAAGAAAGAGAAAGAGCTTGGTAGTGTTATTGGTGATCAGGTGAGTACATGATAATAAGTATATGTTATGTTAGGGAATTTAGACTTGCGATGAGTCTAATTCCGATATTAGATTACATGAGTACAAAGATACAAGCATGTTGCATAGGATGTTTATGAGTAGATGGATATACATATATGCATTTAGAAGTTAACTGCATCTGTATATATGATTTATATGAATGTATATTGTGTGATAAATTTGATAGCCATGATTTATGTGATAATAAGATGTAGGATTCTGTGATGATAATAGATATGAATATAAGTTTATATGAAATAAGATTATGTGATATGAAGGTGTTATATGAATATAAATGATTAATTAACATGATATACATGACCATGTGAAAGCAAGAATATGTATATATGAACATGTGTTATGAGATAAGAATCATAATTTTGAGCTATGTGAAAAAGAATAAAAGTAAAGTGAAAAGTTATGTGATAAGTGAATGTGAATTTCATGGAAATATGTTATGTGAAAGTGAACTATGTGCCTACGTGAATATGTAAAAAGATGAATAATAATGCCCATGTTATATAATAAGAGAGCTATAGGTATAGTTGGCATGCCAAGAGTCGAGGGTCTACGTGGTTCTTCGGGACATAGTGGTCCTTCAGAACATAGTGGTCCTTCGGGACATAGTGGTCCTACGGGACAAATTCTACGTGCCCTTAGTGGGATTTATACGAGCTGTGGTGACAAGATTGTGCACAACCTCTATGTACTCACATACCTTACGTTCTCATTAGTGTGCATGGGCTAACCAAAAAGGATAACAATAAAATGTGAGTTGTAATGAGAAATGTGTTGCATGTTTTATATGAGGATATATGTGAATGTGTGTATGTGTTACAAGAAAGAATGTGTGTTATGGGTTATGGCATTTGTTATGTGATGTACATGAATATATGTTAATATATATATATATGAATGAATATCAATGACTCATATGATGATGTAAGAACATGTTATAAGATATAGAATATGAAAATAAGAGATCATATGAATAAGAGATAGAAAGGATAATCATATAAGAGTATGAGGAAATATAAATGATGATATGTATGTGTGTATGTAATTGTCACATGAAAAAGTATGTATACAAGTATGACATTGTATTATATGATATGCACATGCATTTGATAATTTACATATGGATTTATATGTCTCACTAAGTCTATGACTTAGCGTGTGAGTGTTTCACACGTAGGTTCAGGAAAGTAGGAAGAGGAGCTAAGAGGAGCAAGACATATTAGTTTCTCCTTACTGAAGGTCAGATCAGAACATAAATGAATAACATGTATTTTGTTATATAGAATCTAGTTGGCATGTAGTTAAAAGAATTGTATTAGATACGCTCTGATCAGTTTTGTAAAACCATATGTTTTATATCATAGAAAGTAAATGGTTTTATTAGAAATATCAAATTGAATCTTGTGTATTTTGTAAAAGTAAATGTTTTGGGAAGTCAATGTGACATCTCAGACTCGTATCCGGGTCGGGTACGAGTTGGGGGTGTTATACTTATCATCTTCCAAAGTCAAAGATGAACAAATTATTTTACCCTTTTTCCAATTTTATTAAGCAACTTTCAAAAAATTACAATCTTATCACTTTAATCTAACTGTCCAAATTAAACATGAAAATAAATCTTCAAATCCAATGATCCATATTATTTTCCATCATTTTAACATGTGAAAATAATATTTTTAAGCCTAATTTATCATCCTCCAATTTTTTCTGAAATTTCTATTCGATTTGATATATTGATTTCTTACCGGACTTTAACACTTTCTAGTTTTAAACATAAATTTTGGATAAGAATCTGATTTCAATAAAACCCTACTCTCAAGAGTAAACTACCTATTAATAGAATAAAATTATTTTTGAGAAAATTATCACTTAGGTCCCTGAATTTTCTCACTTTTATACTTTAGACACTAAACTATCAAAACTTACATTTTAACCCCTAACCAAAATTTGAGGTATTACATATCCCGCCTCAGCCATGACAATATAAGACATCATGTCCATATTTAATAAATATTCAATACATATATATTAAAAAAACAAAGACGTAGAGCAACGATGACTCATATTGGCTTATGGCTTGTCATTTTCAAAACCTCTACTTATTATCTAATTATTTGATATAAAGAGATTACCGGCATAAGCTCTCGTGTTCGCATAATCTCCATGACTTCAATCTTTTCTCTTATATATTATGAGTGTTGTCGTGAAGGGAGGTCGGTGGTATATTATCGTTGTTTACCTTATCTAAATTATACGTTTATTTTATTTTAGTACTTAAATTTTTATTTGTTTCAAAATTATATTTATCATTTACTTTTTATTTCATTTTAGTATATATCGTTAAAAACTTAACGGAACAACTACATATGATATTTTCTATAGATAAATTACATCATTCATCTCTTAATTATCTTCTCACTAAAAATTTACCCATAAAAAAGTACTATGTTATAACAGTTCTATTAAGTTTTTAATGACGAGGTATTAAAACGAAACAAAAAGTAAACGTTAGACATGATTTTGAAACAAATGAAAGTTTAAGTACTAAAATAAAACAAAATAAAACTGATAATTTAGATGTTAAATGTGTAGTTTACCCTAAAATTTATATCATTCCAGTCAACTTTTCTTTTTATTAATCGATTCAAAGACTCTGAAATGGAATATTTATTTGAATACGCAGCCAATAATTAAATGGACCAACGAATCATTCCTCAATCAATAACCATCAACCAGATCACTTACGCCCATATCTTTTTTTTAATAAATTTTTAATATATTTATATTTTATATACTTTCTTTTATATATTTATATATACCGCCTACATTTAAATTATTTTCTTATGTTATATTTATAATATTATTCATGAAAATGTTTTATATTTTTCTATGGTATAATTATATTAGAATATGTCAACAATCTCTACAGTAAGTGGTTAAAAACTCTCCGTTGACACTTTCACTATCCCTCAAGTTGTGGGTTTAATACCCATTAAGAGTAAAATTCCCCTTTCCCCCCTTAAGTAGGAATTGTTCAAAAAAAAAAGATATTACATATGAACCCATCAAATGACTTTAGAAGTAAAAAATATTGGGGTGTGTGCAATATTATACATATGAAAATTCTGAATATATATATGAAATGGAATCGAAAATGGGATATAAAGAAAACTTTAAATAGTTTGGCTATAGTAATGACAGACGAATAATACAAAAGTAAAAGGTATAAATCGTTGATAGTTTTTCATAGAGCAAGGCAGGAAACAATATTCTAAAGAATACCTTCCTTTGTTTGATTCTGAAGACCTCTCTGATCTTCTCGGCTTTGTTCTGGGTTCCATCTCGTTATTGTCCGTTCTTCAACAGTGTAGTGCTCTAAACATGAAGGAGAGTTTGCACCAAGCCCATTGCTATTCACGACAACAATCAATAATGTTTTTGCAACACTTCCACAAAGGCGAACTGTACAATGAACATCTGACCACACTCTTAATCGAACATTTAGATCATTATCCCCTTCTGGTAGTGCCAGCACTGCATACTCGGAATGGACAAGAGCTGGGTGGTGACGGTAGGCAACAAAGTCCACACCATACTGCAATCCTAATCTTACAACCCAATTTTTATGCCGAAGATGAGAATAAGCCTTGTAAGAAATAGGAAACACAGGCTTTTTTGATTTGAAGTACTCCCATAACTCCTCATTACTTTTTATGGATCCATCTTCACTGATGACTTGGAGGCATTTTAGTGAAAAGCATAAATAAAAGGTTTCCTCCATATCCAGTTGAAACCATTGTTTGTCCTTCTCTGCTGTAATTCTCGGTCGACCAAAACATGCACGGTTGAGAAGGTCAGCTAATTCAGTATCCACTTCAACGAGTACACTGCAGCTTGAGAGCAAGCCACAAGTCTTGGTTTGGATCAAGGAGGACTGGAGTTGTGAGACAATTTTAGACATAGGATCAGCACTAGCTTTGGCTTTTGAGCCTTTTCCTTTCCATCTAGGCTTCATTTAGTCCTTCAATATATTAAAAAACATAAAATAATTAGGATTCCTGCTCACTTAACCTTTCCTTTTGATTACAGGTGAATTTCGAAACTCTCTGAACTAAATAAGAAAGTAATTCTCTCCAATATTGCTCTGACTCCTTAATTCTTCTCGAAGTGCTTGTGTCCAATGCATATCGAGAGATGGGTACATGAATATTACCAAACCTTGAAATATGGAGATAAGCTTACAAGTATTGAAAGGAGAGACCGAAACATAGAACTTAGACCTGAACAACCACATGCTATTGATTGGTATCTTTATAGAACAGTATACAGGAATTCAAACAGAGACTTATTTGATCTAGTGTTTGTGGCAAGCGTTAGAAAAGGCAACATACTCATCAGCAAGGAAATCAAGCATCTTCGAGGGTACAAGCTCGTATACTAGGTTTAGGGTTAGTTTCGGACAGACTGTAAGAATGGTTTCAATCACTGCACTGGATAAACCCTGGTAAAAAAAGCGAAATGTCATTCAAGGAAGGACAGTGGTAGGGTGGAAACTTGCTCCAACCATGCATGACACTGGAGCACTGCTCCAAGAGGAAAAGATTTGTCACTGTCTACTGCAATTGGAGATCTTGAAGAAGTCTAGAGCTTTGGCACCAGAAGCATTACGACACTGTTTTAATACTAATTGGCTCTACTTGTTTTATCAGCTTGTATTTAGTACCAAAAAAAAAAACCCAATGTCTGAAACATACCCATAAAGAGATTCCCACCCCTCATATAAACTCAACTCTTTCCTTTTACATCACCATAACAAAGACAGATACAATAGGGGGGGGGGGGGAAGACAACATTTAAGTTTGCTCTTACTTGAGAGAGATCGACAGCCGCTTTAAAAAGATGATCCGCTTCTACTTCTGCTTGTTGAGAAATATTGTCTAACACTTGCTTCCAAATGGCCATAACAAAGACAAATGATAAAATATTAGTGAAAAGAAAAAAAAATAACACAGCAATAAGTTTCTTCTTATTTGAGAGAGAGCGACAGTTGCTTTCTATTTTTGAAACGATAGAAAAAGATGATCAGTTTCTACTTTTTCTCGTTGAGAAATATCGTCGAACAGTTGGTGAGCTAAAAAGATTAATTGAATACTCCGTAAAACCAATAACTAAATACATATATATCATCAGCAACAGTAAAAATACCACATGCATAATTCTCTTAATCACAATATCGACCATGAACTAGAAATCAATAACCCTGATCCCTCTTTACATTGTAAAGAAGGATTAAAGAAGTGCTGAGACAAACATAGGGAGTAGTAAAATTTGAGCTAATCAAAAGTGAAAAAAGAAAAGAAGGAAGTAATCTGAAAAGTTACATGAGGAAGGAAGAACAAGGACGTTATACTCGACTCACCTTGAATATTAGAAATTAAGCATCCCCGACAACGACAAAGCCAGAGGCTCTCAACGCAATAGTAGTCAGCAGAAAGCTCGCAGCACAGCAGTGTGTCTTTGCCAAATCAGATCCGTGTGCTTTTGCTATTCGTGAGATAATTGTATGACGGTCATTTCACTTTTGTTATTAATGCAATTTCATCTTTCCTTTTCTATTTCATTTATATTCCACCTGTTAATTTTATTTTATTCAATTTCACCCTTTCATCATTTTAATATATTTGTATTTCTTGCCATTAGTTTTCATTTCATTCAATTTCTTCCTATTACATTTTCAATTTCACCTTTCGATAGCCTATGAGTTTGATAACCTATGAGATTAAAACCAACAACTTAGTAAGCAACAAGTAAATTCCTCAATCAATATAAATAAATTTCACGACTTCAATAGAGATTGATAACAATACAGAGTATTAATAATCTCTCTAACAAAAGTAAAACCCAACCTCTTTTGTTTGGTACTCTTAATGAGGTTTATTGTTTAATCACGGTCTAGGACTTGAAAGACATAAATATCCTTTTTATATAGAACAAAATATCGTAAACTTAGGCATGCGTTAGGCACTTCAGCACAAATCTCATTACAGTGCACTCTGATAATGTCTATATTTCATTTTGCTCCTAACTTGATCTTACACTTGAAAATGACTTTGGAAGAGTATATTTAGTCAAGATAGATAAAATATTATAAAAAATACTGAAATAATCGTTAAAAAGAATTATAATCTTAAAAGTTACATTTTCACTACATAATATTATGTAAAATGATGCACAAACTACCTAAGATCTAAGGGCCGGTTTAACATTACTTTTGAAAATTGTGGTTGAGAAGCACTCTTAAAAGTGCTTTTGAGAAATACTTTTGCATTATTTGGTAGTGTTTAGTATTGCTGTCAAAAAGTGTTTTTAAAAATGTAATAATCATTCTAGACATGATGTTATAAATTGAAAATATACATTTAAATCATTTTTAAATTCTGTAATATTATAATATATAAAATATATCAAATTAAGTTTTGATAATGTATAAAAATATTCATAATATTAAATAAATAAATTTTTAATAATTGTACCTTTTCTGTAAAAATGTATAAAATTTAAAATAACGGTATATAAAAAAATTGACATGAAAAGATATAAATTTTTAAATCTACAAATATTTTATTATAAGTCTATAAATTATAAAATAAATACATTATATAATATAATAAAGGAATATTAAAGTTGTAATTTGGCCCCAAAAGCACTTGCCCAAACGCCTTTTACGTTTGAGTTGAAAAACACTTTTTACATGCACTTTTTTTTAATAGAAAATGAGCCTAAATGAACAAACTAGGTCTGTCCCAAACGAACATAGGGAGACTCATAATATCGGTGTGGAGTCAAACAAGACCAGTTGGCCAGCATTGTTTCCATCGATCTTTGCTAAAGAATCAACCATATTTGCCTCTCATCGGATAAGTTTAAAGTCCACAAACCAAGCTTGGTTGAGCAACGTCGCGATCTCACGGACTAAGAAATAGCTAGGGGCTGTCGGAGGATACATTTGTAAGGAGACGATAAGCATCTGAACTATCCAACTAATCCATGTTGACACAAATCCAATCCCTGGAGACTAATGTATATCTGTAGTACTTTCAACGCTCCTTGTGCGTGAGCCACTTGATAGGTGCGTAGCATGTTTGGCGAGGTAAAGACTCTAATGGAGGATGGAAGTTGCGTTGCATCGGACACCATTGAAGATCCTGTCGTTTCTTCTCTTCCATACGTGCCAAATAATATAGGCAAACAAGATATTTCATGGAATTCCAAATTTCGGATGGCAAGCTTTAATCTTCAAAGTTGTGGCGATCCAATCTTCAACCTGCAAAATGAAAAACCATCGAGGATTTCAGACCAAAAGTGTTTTACCGCCGAACAATCACTTTTAAAACATGTTTAGTATTGTTTATAGTTCAAAAAGTAAGATTAGAGAGTAAAATAAGTTCTTTCATTAGTCTAATATTATTTATTAGACACCCGTTTGACACTTAATGGTTATCTATTGTTAGCAATCTATAAATAAAATGACTGATCCTAAAAATAAAGAAATAAATAGAGTGGCCAAATTGTAAGTTTAGAAAAATATCCTAATTAATACCTTACTACAATTATTTTTCCGCACCCTGAGCCTTGAGCCTGAGCCTGGTGTTTCAGTTCACCTTTACCCATTCCGAGTCCTAATCAGTCCCAAAGAGAAGAAAAAAAAAAAAGAAAAGGAGTAGCCATGGCTTCCAACTCATCCCAACCCTTTAAACCATCTGCTTCCAACTCATCCCAACCCTTTAAACCATCTGCCTCCAAACTCCCCATCAAGCGTAAAGCCCCTCAACTCGAATTCCAACCCATCGTCCTCCCCAAACCCCAAACGCATCCTTTCAAATTCCAGCGAATCTGGTCCGAGCCCAATGAGATTCGTTTCCTCGAAGCCCTCCTCCGATCCCCTTCCCTCTCTTTCCCCAAAAGACCTCCCTCTTTTCTACTCTTCCTTCTCCCACTCCATGTCCCATCCTTACACCAAATCCCAGCTCTCCGAAAAGCTTAGAAGACAAAGGAAAAAGTTCAGGGTCATCTCCTCTAGGCTCGCTCGAGGATTGGACCCTTCTTCCCTCTCTCTTCATGATCGAGCTTTGTTTGATATTTCCCGAAGGCTTTGGGGTCCTGAGTTCGCTTCCACTTCCCCCTTCGGTAGCAACTCTCCCGGGTTTTCTCACGATCATGAAATCAATGGCGTTGCTGGGAATGGGCTTCATGATGCTGATATGAAGGATAATGTTAATGAACCGAGTTTGTGTTATGATTTCGCTGCGGGAAGGGATGAGGTGATTAATGGCGAGGCATTTGATGGCAAAATTCACGAGATAATGTTCTCGAATTTTTTATTTTACGAGATAATGTTTTAGACATATTATTTGTTGAGATAGGATGAATCCTATAGTGAAGCCGTAGGTCGCCATGCACTCTGGGCGACCAAGAAGCCGAGCTATGCATGCATGTGGGAGCTATACATGGGCCATGCACGTCGATGTAGGTCGCCATGGAGTTCCGGCGACATGGTAGGTCGCCATGCACGGATGGCGACCAAGCTCCTAGGAGATTCCTGCCTGGCGACCAAGCTTTAACCTTCTGCTCTCTCATGCATGCGTTGCATCCATAGCTAGGAGATTCCTACATCCGTAGCTGCATGCGTTGCATCCATAGCTGGGAGATTCCTACATCTATAGCTGCATTATTGCAGCGTTAATTTAGCTTCTAAATGCAACAAATATTGTTGTTCAATTGCAGCCTTTCAACGCTCAATAGTTACACGATTCAACGCTAATATTATTTGCTTCAACCGTTAAATTTAATGACGCTGTCCAACGTTCATTTGCTTTATATAAAGGATATGGGATTTAGGGTAGAAGCAGAAGCAGAAGCACATATAAACTTTGTCGAGAGAAAGAAAATGAAGAAGAAGAAAAGAATATAAAGGCTCAAACATAGTTCGTGAGGTAATTTTTTATTGTTTAATTTAGTTTATTATATGAAATTATTAGTTTGTTAGTTTAGGGTTTAGGTTAAAACTAAAATTTAGTTAATTAGTTTGTTAGTATAAATTATTAGTTTGTTAGTTTAAGTTATATTATATTAGTTTGTTAATTTAAGTTATATATTATATTATATAAAAAATTAGTTAATTAGTTTCTTAGTTTAAGTTATTAAATATAAAAAAATATTTAATTAATTTGTTAGTGTTTATTAAACATATATTAGGTTGTTTGTTGAAGTTGAAGTTATATTATAAAAAAAATTAATCAGTGCTTAATTAGTTTGTTATTTTAACTAAGTTATATTATAATAAAGAAATAGTTTATTAGTTTAAGTTATATTATAATATATTAGATTATATAAAATTTATTTATTTAATTTATTGATGTTTAAATAAATATTTTGTTTACACATACAGAACATTATTCCACAACATTTGCCTACGTACAGATTGATTCGAAGAAAGAAACAAGAAAGGAAAGGAAGAAGTTATAAATACGTGGGTAATTTATTATTTTTTGTTGTCTATTTTTTGTTGTTGTATATGTGTAAATTAGTTAGTTAGTAAGTTTATATTAGATTATATAAACTAATTTGTGCGAGATAATTTTCGTTTAAAAAAATATTATGTTTAAAAATATTTAGTAAAAATTAATTGAATGAAATAATCCGGCCAACGCATTATCTCGCGAAATAATTTTTTTGAGAACATTATCTCGACAGTTTTGCCTAATAAATTTGTTTGATATTTTAAAAAAATAAAAAATATTATCAAACTAATCATTATTATTAGCAATCATTACTAAATGATTAGTATCAAATCTAAATCATTAAATATTTTTAATAAATAATTATTAGTTGTAGATACCCATTTTCTTAAAAGATAGAACTAGCAAGAGTTTATCTCCTAAGAGGACTCTTCCACCACCATATCCTTTAAAGCAACAACCACACCAACAAACGTGCAAGGAGTCTAGTTGCATTAAGATTCTATTGTTAATAGGATTCTAAAAATAGTTAGTTTTTTCACTATAAATACATGTAATCCTTCCCATTTGTAAGACACGATTTAAATACAAGATACAGAGGAAAGCATGAAAAAAAATACAAAGGCAAAGCTATTGTAAACGATTCGAAAAGGAAATAAAAGGTAGCATCTTTTTTTACATTGATTCGTTCATTTCTCGCATGTGCATGTTATTTTTCTTGAGATTTGGTTTGAGTAACCCAAAGCGTGGGTTGCGCCGATGACCAAAAAGGGGTGGGGTTTCGAAGTTTCGAACCTAGATCTACTCCCGAGGCATGTTCATTTTTTTAAAGTATTTAATATTCCCCCTAAGTCAATCTTAATCTTTAATTTACCTTGAAATTTACCCTTTAATTTTACTTTTATATTAATTTCATCACATATATATATATATTTAATTATATTTTTTTATTTATTTACTATATTCTTTTTTTTTTATATTATATTATTTATATTATATATATCTTATGTCATTATATATATATATATATATATGTATAGATGTATTAATTTTTCTCTATTTACTATATATATATTTTTTCTTAATATTATATTTTATATGTTTTTATATATATTTTTTTCTTAATATTCTATTTTTGTTTTTATTTATTTATATATATTATATTTTTACTTTATTTTATTTTTTTCTATTTTTTTTCTTAATATCATGTGTATTTTTATTTTTTATTTGTTTTACTTAGTATTATATATTTATTATTTTTATTTGTTTTAGTAAATATTACTTTATATGTACACATTATTTTTATTCCTTTTTAATTTCTTTTACCTTTTTTAATTTTTTTACTCCATTAATATTTTTCCTTTATCTGTGTCTTTATTTTTTTAACATTTTATTCATTTTGTTTATTATTATTTTTTTTTACGTATTTTGTTATTTTCCATTTTTTCTTGTTTTATTTATTATTCTCACGTTTGCACACTTACTATCCTAATTCGATTTTATACTCCACTACGAGTCAAACGTTTTTATCTTTTAAGGGTATTCAAATCAATCAATTGTAAGTAATTTGAATCGGGTCTGTTAAATTTTAATTTTAATTTCGAATTTTCGCAACTAAGACAACCAGCAAATTAATTGGTACCGAAAGGGCGGTTCAAGGGTGCTAATCATTCCTTGACCGTAACCGACTCCCAAACCCGACACATTTCTGGTAAAAAGCAGATCAGGTAAGATGGTGTCCGACCCACCTAAATTCGTTTTAAAATGGTCGGTGGTGACTCCAATCCATATTTTTCAAGTCGAAGCCCAATTTCGAGGCCCAATCGAAAGACGGTTACGACAGCTTGGCGACTCCGCTTGGGACAGGTAAGTGAGTCAGGCCGAAATTAATTTTCGATTTCCTTTTTTACAAGATTAAATTTTAATTTATTTACTGTATTCCAATTATTTATCTTTGATTATTTTTTTTCAAGTAAATAGTTGTACTGACGTTTTTTCAATGATTTTCAGATTTTTGAAAAAGTTTCCATCTCTAGCTCTATACCCGAGCTCCGAACCCTTTTAAGTGGGGGTGAAAGTGATGCCTTCGTGTGAATTTATTCACCATGCGGGCCTAGCAAGTAGCCTTCGGGATTCATATACCTTATGTCTTCGTGTGAATTTATTCACCGTGCGGGCATAAGGGAATGTATCCTCTCGAGTTTAACTTAGTCCACATAAGCTTGTAATAAGCTTAGGACTAAGGGTCTGGTAAGCCCAAGGGGGCACCGGCAAGGAGAACTCGGGTCCCGTTTTTTAGAACCTAAATCGGGAGGCTATGGAGAATTAGAGCCCACCCCAAAACTCATTCCAAACCCTAGGCTGCTTTGTTTCATGCTTTACTTTCTGTTCAAAGCATGCGAACTAGACAAATATGCGGTTAGGATTTGTGTGGAATTAGCATGCGGGATAGAGATCATGTTCGGGTAGGAATTAAAGCATGTGGGGTAGGACTTTTATTTTCATGATTGTTTTTTTCACCTCACTAACCTTTTTCATTTTTGTTCTCTTTTATTTTATTTTCATCATTTACATCATTTAAAAGAGGTATTGATCCACCAAAAACGTGTTTGTTAAAACATAAATAATTCACATTAATTGACAAAGGGGTTGTAATACAAGAGGTGAAAAACGCAGGGGTCCGGCTATGGTCAGAAAAGACTCAGAAAGAAAATGAGGACAATCTGCAAGACAACTATGTGTCACATTCGATCAAGAAACAAGCAAATGAACTTTGGATAATCCCTTTGATGGAGGATTTCAATGGAGTTTCCGATTCAGAAAAGGATGAAAGTCAGAGATGCAGTCATTCAATACTTTTGGGAACAAGTACAAAAAACAGCTCGTCACTTGCACGGTTTAGCCAGAGAAGCCGGAGCGGTTCGGCAGGGTATTCGACCGGTGACATACGAAGGTAGAAGATTAGTCAACTTGTTTTGGGGTCTAGAGGATTTAGTCCGGATGTACCTTTAAATTTGTTTATTGTCTCTTAAAAGATAAAACACTTTTGTCCCAATAAAGATTATTTATAATAACAGACATGTTTTTGGATCAATGCCTCGAACATTTCATGTATTTTTGCATTTTGCATCTACATTTCATTTTTAAGCATTTTCATAAACATGAAATTTCTTCATGGAGGATTCGATGAAGTGGTTTTAACCACATGACACCACATGGAAGCAAGATTGTAACATCAAAAGAAAAAATTGAAATCAGTACAGTGGGAGCTCGATCAGTTGGTTATATGACTAAGCTTGCCAGGATGATCTAAGAAAAGAGTCCACATATCCTGAGGGCTACGATGTTGAAGCCGTTTGCAGTTGCCACATAGGATGCTCCAAATATTCCTCTGAGAACTATAAGGCGATGAAGCGCAAGATCCAAAACCTGATGGATTCAGGGGCATAGACAGCCGAAGAAGGGGGAATTGCATATACCATTTGCACCTAGAGGATTGTTTTGTTTGAACACGTCTTTGATCTTTTGCTTAATCTTTTAAACGATTGAATTTATGCTACTTTCTAAGGTGGAGCAATTGAACAAATTTTAATCTTTAGTTCTTCGAATATTAAATGAATTAAGGATTCTTTTAATTCTTCAAGAATTATAGATTTTTGACATATGACAAGATTAGACCTTTCTTATCCTGTCTCAAACCCCAAAATAAAATACATTGATTCTTTACCCAAAATAACTCAGGGTCATTACCAAAAAGACCAAGTTTTGACGTTACCACCCCTTTGAAACTTTTTCATACCATACCTTTCTTTGAGTCGA